ACGGGCTACAGCTTCACCACCACTGGCGAACGGGAAATCATGCATGACATCAAGGAGAAGCTGTGCTACGTCACCCTGGACTTTGAGCAGGAGATGGTGATGGCGGCCTCCAGCTCCTCCCTGGAGAAGAGCTGGGAGCTGCCCAACAGCCAGGTCATTCCCATCGGCAACGAACGGTTCCGCTGCCCCAGGCACCCTTCCAGTCTTCCTTCCTGGGTGTGAAATCCTGTGGCATCCATGAAACTACCTTCAACTCCATCATGAAATGTGATGTGGACATCTACAAAGATCTGTTCGCCAACACAGTGCTCTCTGGCAGCACCATCATGTACCCTGGCATCGCCGACAGGATGCAAAAGGAGATTCCCGCCCTGGCACCCAGCACAATGAAGATCAAGATGATTGCTTCTCCTGAGAGCAAGTACTCTGTGCAGATTGGCGGCTTCTCCAGCAAATGTGTATCAGCAAACAGGAGTATGATGAAGCCGGCCCCTCCATCATCCACCGCAAATGCTTCTAGGCAGACAGTGATTTAGCTGCGTTACACCGTTTCTTGACAAAACCTAACTTGTGCAGAAAACAAGATGAGATTGGCATGACTTTATTTGTTTTGGTTTGGTGTTTGTTTGTTTATTTGTTTGGCTTGACTCAGGATTTAAAAACTGAACAGTGAAGGTGACAGCAGTCCCCCAAAGTTCTACAATGTGGCCGAGGACTTTGATTGTACGTTGTACTTTTTTTTAATAGTCATTCCAAATATTGTGAAATGCATTGTTACAAGAAGTCCCTTGCCCTCCTAAAAGCCACCCACTTCTGTCTAAAGAGAATGGTCTAGTCCTCTTCCGAATCCACACAGGGGAGGTGATAGCATTGCTTTTGTGTAAATTATGAAATGCAAAAAATGTTTTATCTTCACCATAGTACTTTTTTATTTTGGTTTATTTTGAATGATCAGCCTTTGTGGCCCTCTTTTTTTGTCCCCCAACTTGAGATGTACAAAGGCTTTTGGTCTCCCTGGGAGTGGCGGAGGCAGCCAGGGCTTACCTGTACGCTGACTTGAGACCAGTTGGATAAAAGTACACACCTTATAGATAAAAAAGTACTTGTAATTTTTCAAATTTTGAATCACCTGATCATTTATATTGTTGAAAGTCATGTTTAGGCAATTGTTTGATGACTTATTTTTTAATTTTTTAGTTTTTATTCAAAAAATCTTTTACTTCTGTAAAATACGTGTCTTACTCTCTAGCCTCATAATTTACTAACAATTTCCATACTAAACTCATAATTTATTTTACCATTTTTCCAGCTAAATGGTGTGTGTGTAAAATATTTTATTGGACATTTAATTCTAATTTCAGATGACTTCTCTTATCAACTATTTTACTGTTTAAAGGAAACTTCTTTCCAAAATTCAGTATGTATTTGCTGAAAATGTCTTAATATTGTCCACTTTATTGTCTTAGGAAATGATTATACAACAAACAGCTCTGCCACAGCAAATTGCAGTTGCCACTCACTGCGAAACTGGCAGCATACCTTCTTCCAGCCTCTTGTTTTCTTTATGATTGTACAACATTACATCTCCATTTGATTCTCCATTAGTAGCATGACTTCATTTTAAATCTAAAATTCATTGATACTCATTTTTAAGTAGGAAAAAAAGGTTTAATTAGGCCATGTGTGATGGCTCACGCCTGTAATCCCAGCACTTTTGGGAGGCTGAGACGGGAGGATCACCTGAGGTCAGGAGTTCAAGACCAGCCTGACCAACATGAAGAAACCCCATCTCTACTAAAAATACAAAATTAGCCGGGCATGGTGGCACATGCCAGTAATCCCAGTACTCGGGAGGCTGAGGCAGGAGAATCTCTTGAACCTGGGAGGTGGAGGTTGCGGTGAGCCAAGATCGCACAATTGAACTCCAGCCTGGGCAACAAGAGTGAAACTCCATTTCAAAAAAAAAAAAAGAAAGAAAGAAAAGAAAAAAGTTTAACTGAAATACTAAGAATTTCAATTTATACGAGTATCACTTTAAGTCATGCTGTCTGCATGCAGTATTCAAATAAACACATTGTGTCACATCAATGCATAGAAAATAATAATTTGAACTGAATCCCACCTACTCGACTGTGTGTTTATGTGTAACATTAGAAACAACACAGACACCCAAAACATGCATGACAATATAATATCTGATGCTGTAATGGTTAAAGTGAGATGCAGTTCTACCAGAATCATAGTTTATTACAGGAAAAATATGCTGCTTCACTTTTTAAATATAAATTAACTAAAAGTAAATAGTATTAAAAATTCAGTTCTTCGGTTGTCCTCACATTTCAAATGCTCAACAGTCACCTGTGGCCGGTGGCGACTATTTTACACAGTGCAATTGTAGAGCTTCTTGGACTGTATCTGGGTCGAGAACAACTGATGCATGTTTTTTGTCGCTAATCTTTTAAAATAAATTTAAATTTCAGCTTAAGTTTTAAGAGGTTTTAAAGTTTTTCCCACAGCCGTTGCTTGTTTCTCTGGAAGCTGCCACTTGCGGAGGATTAGGAGGTAATTGCAATGACAGATACAGTGTTCAGGCTTCCACACCGCAGAAGTAGAAAGGAATGAGAAAACATTTATATACTTGCCTGTGGTTTCTACTTTTAGAACATTAAGATTAGTTACATCTTCTTTAAAAACTGTGAAACAGACTGAAAATAAAGACAGTTTTTAAAAATCCAAGTGTCTTTACATTTGTTAAATTAGTAAAATTCAGTTACTTTTTCTTACATCTTTGTTTATTGTTCTTTTACTGATAGGTGGCCCAAGCCCTTTTCACAGCATCAGTTCAGCTGCTTGCAGATTAAATCCAGCTGCTCCTTTATCTTTTAGTTCTTTTGGCCCATGCCTTGCCTACCAACAGAAGCTAAAAGTGTCTTGATGACTTTGAAGGGCAACAAAAAAAATAAAGAGCATAATAGTTAGCATATATAATAGTAAACACTCTAAATTTCAATAATGTAGTAATTTCATTGCTTTTAACAATGAAAAACTAGAAACAATTCAACAGTAGAGATCAGGCAGACACAGTGGCTTAACACTTGTAATTCCAGCACTTTGGAAGGCCAAGGCAGGCAAATTACTTGGGGTCAGGAGTTCGAGACCAGCCTGGCCAACATGGTGAAACCCTATCTTTACAAAAATACAAAATTAGCTGAATGTGGTGGCACACACCTGTAGTACCAGCTACTTGGGAGGCTGAGACAGAAGAATCACTTGAACCCAGGAGGAGGAGGCTGCAGTGAGCCAAGATTGTGCCCCTGCACTCCAGTCTGGGTGAGACAGAGCAAGACTCTGTCTCAAAAAAAAAAAAAAAAAAAAAAAAAAAAAGACTAGCCTGGTCTACATAACAAGACTCCATCTTCACCAAAAAAAAATTTTAATTACCCAGGTGGCATGTACCTCTAGTCTGAGCTACTCAGGAGGCTAAGGCAGGAGGATTGCTCGAACCCAGGAGTTTGAGGCTCAGTGAACTATGATTATAACACTTCACTCCAGCATGGAAGACAGAGAAAGATCCTGTCTTAAAAAAAAAAAAAAAAAGCTGGGCACTGTGGCTCATGCCTGTAATCCCAGCACTTTGGAAGGCCAAGGCAGGTGGATCACTTGAGGCCAGGAGTTCAACACCAGCCTGGCCAACATGACAAAACCCTGTCTCTACGAAAAATACAAAAAATCGCTGGGTGTGGTGGTGCACGCCTGTAGTGCCAGCTACTCAGGAGGCTGAAGCAGGAGAATCTCTTGAACCTGGGAGGTAGAGGTTGCAGAGATCATGCCACTGCACTCCAGCCTGGGTGACAGAACAAAACTCTGACTCAAAAAAAAAAAAGTAGAGATTTGGTTAATTTTGCACATCTACACAATGACATCCTCTTCAAGCTTTAGAAATGAAAAAGTAAACGAATATTTATTGGCAGGGAAAGACGCTTATAATAATGTACTAAGTAGAAAAGCAAATTCTATAACAATATGTATTATATGACCTCATTTATGTTCTAAAATGTATGTGTATACAGTATATATTATATATGTGTACATATGTGTATCCTAAAATACAAAGATCTGAAAAGTGTAACATGTTTCTTACCCCTTTAAATTTTCAGTTTTAACATGGGTGTTTTTATTTCCTTCTTTTTGTTTATCTGTACTTTAAATAATAAAAGCACATTTCATGTTTTTATATTTTAAAATATGTCTATTTTTAGTTTTTATTTTTTAATCTCTAATGTTGTTTCTATATCTGCCATTACTAGCTGTTTCTAATTCACTGAGAGCTCTTCCTTACAGGTAAATAACCTCCTTTATACCCGCGTTCTTCCTTCACCCTCTCTGGCATTTGAAATCACCAATCAACATGAGACACAGGTCAGAAACTATTTAGGTGGATTTGTCTACAGTGTCCTAACAGCATGTCATGAGATTTTGAGAATTACAGGTCCAATGGGTCATTTCCCAGCACTTTTCCCTCTTATGAACCCAGCTTGGGCAGTATAAGCAAAGAAGAATGTTTTTAAAAGGCTAAGCCCCCAAAATTCCATGTAAGTACCTGCCCTCCCAGAAACCCAGTGTGCTCTCCACTCCAGAGAAACCTGCTCTTGCTGAGCGCTGACAAAGGTGCTTGGCCTCTTTGCCCTGCCTCCGTCCACTCTCTAGCTCTCTTTCTTACAGGCACAGACTGCTATCTTCTTTCCCATCAGCGCTTCATCTCACACCTATTCCAGGTTTCTTAGCCAAAGGGTTCTAAGTCAAGGCCCCAAAACTTGTCAAGGGGGATATGTGTAGATAATAAAGGAAGTTGTCATTTGACAATGGGACACCAGACCTCAAGGAGGTCATGGACCAGTTTAGGAAGAAAAAGGACACATATGCAACCTGATTTAGGAAAACTTACCAATAAGCAAGCACAAAATAGTGCAGAATAGATTTATTCTTTCAATGCAGAGGGAGATGAGATCAATGTGGGGCTGGATCAATACCAAAAAGCTTTAACTGGGGACCTTGACGCTGGCTCAATTATGCTCAGAAGGTTTTTTCATCAAGCAATTTCAGGGGAGCCAGGGATTGTCCAATCCAAAAGTCCCTAATCTCTGGACACTGACTGCCCAGCTTTCCCAGATAAATAATTCCTGAGTTGAAGGTCCACAGGCCACTACCAAACTGGAAATGTTCATAGAAAGGGTTAACATATTTGGTTATCAGCCTTTAGTTACCACGGATTTTATTACTGGATTATTAGATTAGATGCCCAGTCACCTGGCAAGGTCTGAGAAGGTGAAACCTGGATAGAAACATCTTGATGGAGAGAGGGTGAGCTGAGAACACAGGACACAGGCCTATAGCATGCTCAAGGCAGAACAGCAAAAAGGCATAAAGATGGCTCGGGACCCAGAGCAGGGGAGAAGCCAAAAGACCAACAATGCCTGTTGAGAAGCCCTGGAGAGCGAGGCCATCAATGGGTGGGCACAGAGGAAAGGAAAGAAAAAGCGTGCCCCAGCCTGCTGGAGGCATTTGGAGTTCACAGGGCCGCTTGTTGGCCACCCCAATTAAAGGCTTTCTGCTCCCTGCCTCGCCTTGCTGTGGTTTTCCCAGACAGAGGTGGCTTTGTTACTGGGTGAGCACCGGGTCCTGGAAGCAGCTGTAAGTGTGTGGACTTCCTGGTTGCAGCCTTTCTCCTCTTAATGCTTCGCTGGGACCTCTTGGTCCGGAGCCTTTTATCTCCCGTGTTTCATCTGATTCTCACTGAGTATATTCTGTAATTTGCTTTGTCAACTGCTGCTCCCAAGGAATCATTCCCTCTTGATCTTTCACTCTTCAATCTCTTTTTTTGTTCTGTCCAAAACATAATTTTTAATTAATGTTTTAGCTTAAAATGTATCAAAGTTCAAAAGTCAAATAGTCTAAAATGTTTCACTGAAAAGAGCAGTTCCTCGCCTTTCCCATCTCACCCTCATAACACCACATCATCTCTGAGCGATTTTTTTCTTCTAATTTACCCCATATCTTTACATCATACAAATATACTGCTACCACTTGATTTATCAGTTTTAAACATTATCTACCGACTTCTTATAGCAGAGGAAGATATTAGCTCTCTCAAATACCCTTCACCTCTTTCATTCTCCATTCAATTAGTTACCTCCTAATTTGAGGGTCGATCCATTTTGAGTATTTTAGCTATTATGATTAAGTAAATACTGTTTGCTGCTAGTTTACTATGATCATAGTAGTATGCTATGATTAATTACATTCTTGAAACATTTTTGTTTTTCCTGAAATTCACAATTACTTCTTTTTTCAAATGTTTAGTTAAAAAAATATGAACTGTCTTATGACTTTGTGAGTCTGTCTTGGGCAAAGGCCATGTAGAGCTGCCTTTACTCTTCTCAGCTGTAGTGCACATGTAACCCAATAAATATTTCCATGGCTGTCTCTCTTTCATTCAAAACCCCATAAAGCTACAGGTCCTATTTGATGACAAAAATTATCTCCAATCACAGGACCAACACTGAGCCCTACGCACAAGCAGTGCTCCATAAATATTTCTTTTTTCTTTTTTTTGAGACAGAGTTTCGCTCGTTACCCAGGCTGGAATGCAATGGCGCGATCTTGGCTCACCGCAACCTCCACCTCCTGGGTTCAGGCAATTCTCCTGCCTCAGCCTCCTAAGTAGCTGGGATTACAGGCACGCACCACCATGCCCTGCTAATTTTTGTATTTTTAGTAGAGACGGGGTTTCACCATGTTGACCAGGATGGTCTCAATCCCTTGACCTCGTGATCCACCCGCCTCAGCCTCCCAAAGTGCTAGGATTTCAGGCGTGAGCCACCGCACCCGGCCTCATAAATATTTCTAACTTGGTTTACTGTCCATGGTCCATGGTCTTGTGCTGTGTATGGCCCCCACCAATACCTTTGCATATTCTGTAACAAACCAAATTTTATTCACTGAAGTTCAGCATAATGAGCTAAGGATACGCACGTATCACATGAAGTGTAGTGAGCCTTTTATACTGCCTCTCAAGCATATCTCTGTAAAAGGCAACTGTAGCCCTATCACCTGGAGCTAAGACTTACAGAAGGCCTATCCTTTTTTCCTTGGAGAAAAAGTATTTTGCACCCACTTTCTGTAAGGGGGACCAACATTTACTATCAGTCACTAACTGAAAAACTTCATTTGTACTGACTCATCACAACTGCCCTCGGATGCTAAGAATGTTTTTCAAAGAAGGAGGAATGACAGGGATATAATATTACTAAAATTGGGTCATTCCCTGATTGATCAATCAGGAATTAGTCAATTACAGAATAGGTTTGGTTCTCCATAATGCAATACTTAAAAAATAGTGACTTGAAGTTTACTTAAAGGTTTCTCTTTCTCATGCAACAGAAATTCCACTGTAAGGTCTTCATGCTTGTTGCTTCATGGTGCAAGATGGCAGCCCCAACTCCGCCATCACATCTGCAGTCCAGGCAGGAAGAAAGGGAAGGGCAAAGGTCAAAAATGTTTTCTAGCTGAGTATATCTCCTTCAACAAGGAAACAATAGCTTTTCCTGGATGTCTCATGAGGTAGCTTTCCCTTATGTCTCTGGCCAGAATGAGGCCATGTGGCTACTCCTTTCACTTACAAGGAAATCTGGGAAATGTAGGTTTTTGTTTTTTTTCAAGGTCAGGCAAATTATCATCCCAAATAGAATTGAGGTCCTATGTGCAGGCTCTCAGCAGTGTGTCTACTGTTCACATATGTGGGTTAACAATACCAATATATCATGGAAATTAAAAGAAAATCAGACTTTCTAGAAATGATAGAATTGAGTCTCTTTTTACTCCAGTGTTACTTTAGTGTAAACAGATTTTTAGGTCTTCATTGCACTACAGGTCTAGATCCAGTTTCCCACATATACACACATTTGTTATAATAATTTTCTGTGTGATCTTGCAAATCCTCATTATCCAAAAAGATCTGAAATGTGTACATGTATCTAAACCCTCACATACACAAAGACAAAATAAACAAACAAAAAAGTAGTGCCCAAGCAGGCAGGAATCAAGTAAGTAAAGAACATTCAGTGATAATCAGGATTAATTTTGGGGAAAATGATACTGCTGGGATTTTAGAAAGAATAAATAACCGACATAATGAAATATTTGCAGTATTTTTACCTTATGCAAAGGGAGTTGGTTTCTCCCTTCAAGATGTGAATATCTGTTACATACATATTAAATATAATTCTAATAATTACAATGGGGAGGAAACTCTCAGACACTTTATGCTTTAAATTAAGTTTATCTCCCCTATCCAAACCCCCTTCTAGCTAGTAGGGGAGCTATAATTCCTACAACTTCTAAAACATTAGAATCTAAGAACTGGTTGAAGAGACACTTTTGCTGCTATCATGATGCAAAATAACTGCCCAGTAGTATTCTCTATGGAAATCAAGTTAATAAAACTGTGCAAGTATTAACCAACACTTTTCAAATCCTCAGAACTGGACAGCCAAAAATATGGCAGTGGATCTCACGGAAGATGGCTGCCTTCCACTTCTCATTTTAACTACCTCAGGTTTGGTGGGTTTGTACAGGAGTGTGGTTTGAGAGAGAACTCAACGTCTCTGCCTTCTGTGAGGCAAGCGCCTCTTCTGTGCTTTCATCGTCCCCAGTCAGGAATGCCTTCTTTCCCCCCTCTCCCTTATTGGAATCTCTGTTGTTCAAGGCCACAGCTATGAAACCTTCCTGGATACACTCTGTCCAGCCCTCCCTCCTTCCCCATAATCTGACTGAATTCATTGTATTCCTATATGATGACCCTATGATCTATCAGACAAACCAGGACTATTTTGGAGAATAAAAGGAGACACTATTAGATATTTTACCAGGTCAACAGGAGTCAATTAGGAATATCCCAAGCAACCTAGGATGTGTGGTCATCCTACTTATTTGATCTACATGGGATACATTCCCATAACTTCCAGAAGGTCAAAATCATGAAAATAGGTTTGGGTTCCTGGCTCTCTCCTAAATCTATTTGCATTTCAACACATATGTATCTGGATGCCACCTATTTACTACAAGAAAACTACCCTTTTGAGTTTTCTCTCCTATTTGATGGCCATTTTTTCACTATGAAACAACACTGTTAAAGACTTCATGTGACATCAGGGTAGGAGTGGATGCTGAGCCATCTGGTAGGCTCATGAACCAGAGAAGGGGCAGATGCCAGCTTAGCAGCCTCAGAATGCACATGGTTAAAATTCCTACCTCAGCAAAATGCCAAATTGATATGCAATGGATCTCCCTTGTCATTTCTCACAAGTTAAAGCATAAACACTGAACATACAGTAATTACACATTGCCTGGACCTTCATTCAAGTTCAAGACTCCACGGTTTTAATGAAATCTTTGTTCAAGCATTTGAACTGCTATGAAGCTGTTTTCTGAGAAAAGCTGTAGTCTCGTCTACAGGAATTCCAGTGCCCATTTCCTGAGAGAAATGGAATGGCCCTTTTCCATTCACACATTTAATGTTTAAGACTATGGCTGGGCACAATGGCTCAAGCCTGTAATCCCAGCACTTTGGGAGGCTGAAGTGGGAGAATTGCTTGAGCTCAGGAGTTCAAGACCAGGCTGGGCAATATGTTTGAAACCCATTGTAATACATGCCTATAGTCCCAGTCTGAGGTGGGAGGATCACCTGATCCTGGAGAGGTCAAGGACATGGGGAACCTTGATGGGACCACTGGACTCCAGCCTGGGCAACAAAGTGAAACCCTATCTCAAAAAAAAAAAAATTGTTTTAAAAAAATGCTATGCCAAAATTCTATCCTCCTTTCTCCTCACAGCTGAATCTGGTAGATGTATCTATATCTTTTTTTTTTTTTTTTTTTTTTTTGAGACAGAGTCTCACGCTGTCACCCAGGCTGCAGTGCAGTGGCATGATCTCAGCTCACTAAAACCTCTGCCTCCCAAGTTCAAGTGATTCTCCTGCTTCAGCCTCCTGAGTAGCTGGGATTACAGGTGCATGCCACCACGTCTAGCTAATTTTGTGTATCTTTAGTAGAGATGGGGTTTCACCATGTTGGTAAGGATGATCTCGAACTCCTGACCTCAGGTGATACCCCCGCCTCAACCTCCCAAAGTGCTGGGAATACAAGCATGAACCACCACGCCCGGCCATTCTTCACCTATGCACCTCCCATCCCACTGTCTTCTGGCTCCAGCACCCTCTGTACTGTAGAAGCTGTTCTGAAAAAAGCCAACAACAAACTCCAGCTCAGGAAAGTCAGTGGAAATGTTTTCAGGCTTTATTATATCTGAACTCTTCCCACCAACCGTTTCTCTTTACCAGATGTTTTCTTCCTTGGCTTCAGGCACGTCGCTCCCTTTTAGTTCATAGCTTCATTGGCTGAGCTCTGTACGTTCACCCATCCTTGAATATCAGTGTTCTCCAGGATTCTACGCTGGGGCCCTCTTTCCTCCCCATCCTCTCATTCTTCTCAGGCAAGCACATTGACTTCCATGGCTTCCCCCAGTTCTACACTGTGTAAACAACATTCACGTGTTCTAAATTTTCTAATCAGTTTCAACTTATTCTACTCTGCTTTTTCTGTAAAAGCTATTTTTGTTATGCAGTTAAATGTGACTTAATTTGAAAATTTTGCGGGATTTTTCACATACATATTCAAATCCTTCCTCTATGGCCTGTCACCGCATCCTCTGTCTGGATTTTTGGTTAGGCAAATATGTTTCACTTTAAATCCTGACTCCATCTCCCACTGGTGTGAACTTGGGTAGATTATATTACCTCTTTGTGCCTCAGTTTCCTTGTACTATAA